TAAAATATATATGCATATATATATAATATATACATATATATGTACACATACACACACACTACTAACTTATTGCATATGGAATTTTGAATCATACACACCATACACACATTTGCGATATGTATCTATTGATGGTATTTAATAACGACGCGATAATTCCTAAAACTCCACGACAGTTGTTGCTCTACAGTTATAGAAATATTTTGGGGAATAATTACAAGAATAACCATAGCGACACCGAAAAATGCGATTATAGTTCTAAAAGAAATGCAACGTGCGCACATGCACATATACGCACATACGTACACGATTTCGTATACTATTTAGAACTGTTAAATTCACATTAATATCAGCATCAACGTAAAAAGAAAAAAAGATACCTATGTAATACTGTTCTCGCATTTAGTTGCATACTTTTAAAGCGAATTATGCATTGTCTGTGACAAATAAGGTAGCTTAAATTTCAATCTAGAATAAAGATATACATATATGTATACATACATATATATATATATATATATGTATGTAGTATACATACATATATATATGTAATGCGAAAATTGAGCGAAATTTACATTTCTGTAAAAAAAAAGAAAAAATGTGGAAGATAAAAATCCATAATATGAATTAATGAAAAGCCGCATTAGGATTTTAAAGGGTAATAATAAAACATCAATTTAGTGCAGCGCATTTTCACGACTGCAATTTCATTAATGACTATCGCAAGTAAATAGGTCGGTTATTTCTGTCGAAGTATGTCTTGAAGTTATTATGCCATCCAAGTATTACAAATATTCTCAAGCGCTATGAAGTGACTTTAATCGCAAGCGTGTAAGGTATAACGTAGAAAAAAGAAATTCATATTTAGATGAGATCTCCACGATGGCTATGCCCGGTATTATGAATTTTCTTAGTATAGCGTGTAAAGAATAGAGATTTAGAAAGAAATGCATTATCTTTCTGTCAATCTTCCTTTGGCGAGATTTTCCATACATTCGTCAGAGATAGATTCTCCTTTCATTCCTATTATTTTTCGAAGTATAATCGTGAGGAAGGACTGATCTGAATGTTTTATTTCAGTATATAATGAGTTAATAATTATTATTGTATTATTTAACATGTTAACTACAAGGAAACCCACACATAGAAGTATCTTCTTCTGGGTTTCCTTGTAAGGTGCATCGTAGACGTGTGTATGTGTGTGTATGTGTGCGTACACGTACATACACACATACATATACAAACACACATATATATATATATATATATATACACATGCATATATACAGTATTATTTATTTATTTTGTTTAGCAATTTGTGCGTAATCTTAAGCGAGGGAGTTGTTTCCTGCAGAATTACATTTTTTTCCATGATGAATATATAAAAAGATAGCAAGATCAAAAGAATAGAAAATAAGTTCCCAGTTTGAGTCAGTTTAGGAGTGCAATACGCTGGACGAATATTCAAATATTCGTCAGAAAATTTTCTTTTTTTTTTACAATCTTTTAAATGCAGAAGAAACATGTACTCGCTATTGTTTAGTTGATAACAAAGATTTTCAAAGCGTCGACGTTTCCTATATGTCTTTACTTAGTGAAAGACAGAAAGGAACGTTCTTCGAGTAATTCATGGTGCTGACGAATAAAATTATTAGAAAAGGCACAGAGATGTTTTCGATCCTTGTTACGATTGTAAATGAGTATATACTATTCTATAGGGGTAGAGAAAAGGCGTGTTGCGAGATTGCCGAAACGTTAAATGGAATTTAGAATGCTTTGTTTACGTGCTAGCTATATTTATATTGAGATTACGGTGATTAATATTCATAAGCTGCATTTGAAGTTTTAACGTCGCACTTCTTCGAAAGGAAAAAAAAGGAGAGAAACTTGCGAGGGGCCTGAATGTGCGAATTACTACAATCACATCGATGCTAATTTTCAAGCGTAAAATAAAAAAAAATGTATTCTAGTCTTAACATGAAATGTATGGCGGATTTTTATTTAACCTTTTATTTAATTTATTTGAAACTGAATTCTTCCCGCCTCTTCTCCATCGTTCTTTCGTTCGTTGACATTCGTCATAAGCTCCCACATATGTTAGCTTATTCAAGATTGTTTTCCTTATCGAAATTGTGCGTGTCGTCTTACATCTATAAGACTCAATTTGAAGGCACACACGCATAGGCATCGATCGAATGTAATTGCAATAATTCTGTAATGATTTGTTATAGATGTAATTCAGTTTCTTTAATTTGGATCAATAAAAGGATTGTAAAAGGATGAACGGACTTTTAAATGTCCTATTCTTTACCGGATGTCGACATTGTACTCTTGAAAATCCTTAATCCTGCTACCTCGTTTTTATTTCGATGTACAATAATTCGAGCACCATAAAAGAGCATAACTTATTGACATTTATATATTGTACAATCTCAATCAAAAATCTTAAGCGGCACTATAACAGATCATTGGAAATTTTCATTTTTTTTAGAAAAAATACTGATTAATATAAAGATTGAAAGTTTTATGCAATAATTAATATAACAGATTGCAATATAATAATGCAACGATAGATTGACAATTCTCAATCAGTGTTCTAAATTTGTACAACATCGTCAGGTGTAGAAACGTGAATATTCGTGCAAATGAAAGTGTATCTCACTATCTTAAACCAGATAAGCTGTACACTCACTTATCTCTTATCAAAGGTGTGATTCAGTACGCACGTCGCATTATACAGTTCACTACAACGATTAGACCTGTTCTTTTATTTCTCACCTATTGACCTTTTTCGGGAGAAAAATGTGCTCGAGAAAATTTGTGTGTTATTTAACTATAGCTTTACGTAAGTAACGTTTAATTTTAATATATATGCAAAAAGTCGATAAATAAATCGTTTACATTCGATAGTAGAAATAAAGACGTTCTATTTTTCATACCATTTACATCATAGAAACCGTTGCTGATTGATCAAAAATAATTGCAAAGTTTTATCAGGATGAGTAATCATCCTTAACATTTACCATCCTAAATGAGAATTTAATCATTTTTATCAAATTGATATGATAATATCGCAATTATTTTTATAATTATTTTTGTCAATAAAGCTTAATATTGCACAATATAAATGCAAAAAATCATGGATTCCATATATAAATGAATTAATCCTTTTTTCACTTTCTGAACGAATAGTTCTAATGGGAATATTCCTGGAGGGAGTCGAGGCAAGACGCAAAATTTTGAGGGGCCGAAAAACAATAACCAGACGTTATTACAGTAAGTGGGATGAGAAGAACGCAACGTGTCATCGAAATCGCAAGTCTGAACGTTAAATTATTTTTAGGAGGTACGGCTATACCGGCCTGGGCCATAGTACTTCTAACGGGTATCGGTATGCTGCTACTCGGCGGAGGACTTTACGCATTATTGCAGAAATTCGTGGTGGACGCCGCGGACACCGGGGAGGGTAGTAATTCCTACACACCTGCGTTACAGCTCACGAGTTGAGTCAATTTTCCACAAAATCTCTAATAATCCTTATTTATCGTTATACTGAATCACCAATATCGTAAATTATGTGTATGTAGAAGTAAAAAAAAACTTTTTGCAGAAATACAATGACATTATGGTCTTGCTTTATTAATCTTGCAGTCTTATTCTGTCTATTATCCCTTGCTTTTGCAGGGAATCTATTTATTTTCTTCTTTTAATAGGTTTATCAAATTATCACTTACCACTGTTTATTTTATATTAACGACCAAATGTATTTATTATTGTTACATATGTTCATACTCGTGTCTTTAAAGCGCGGAGGAAACGTAATCACACGATTGTGTATCGGAATTTTTGCCGGTGTTGCGATATACTTACAATTCTAATCGCTTGCCGCTAAACGCGACAAATTTCTTATCATTATCATCGATTATTCATTGGTAAATGTATAATTCTCTCGAAATACGTTTAGATTATTCAAATACCACATATACAATGTATTATATATATATAATTAAATGGTATGAAAAGAGAATTCTACAGTTTAGAATTCTCTACGATGATACTTGTCGGGATCGAAGTACGATGTAACTACGACGCGATTATTAAACTTTCGGCCCGTGAGAGTCTGTTGCGCCTTTTGGCAGTCAATCACGCTATTGAATTCTACGAATACCTGTAACAGAATAAAAAGTGGTAAATAATATGTAGAAGCATTGTGTCAATATTAAGTACCTTGCCGCAGCCAGGAACGTCAACACCCTCAATGGGTCTAGGAATCTCCACAGATCGGACAACTCCATATTTGTTACACTCTTCTTTAATGTCCTCCAGAATGTCCTCGTACTCTTCTTCTTCCATTAGCTCTTCTGGCGTGACCATATTGAGCAAACAAAGCACCTGAAAGATATTGTACGATTAAAAATCCGATTGCAAAATCATTAATTTGCGTCATTTGCGAAAACAATTTCGTTCGATTTAGCTCTTACTTCAGTCGCAGGTCCACTCGTGCCAACCATTGACAAACCAGGCACTTGAATTTGTACTGGAGCTTGCGCGCCTATCATAGGATTTTTAGCACCTACGCTGGCGCGTTGCACGATTAATTTCTTGTCGCCCAGTTGCATTCCATTCAAACCGGCGATTGCCTGGTCAGTCATCGAAACGTCTACATATTCGCAGAACGCATATCCTTTGGAGAGACCGGTCGCGGAATCCTTTACTAGATTGAACGCCCTCAGTTGTCCAAAGCTCATCAATAGTTCTTTCACCTGTATTATCATGAAAAATATTATTCTCTCACTCGCGTGATAAAGTTTTCGAATCTATAAAATGTAGACAATGCAACTGTGATAAATATTAATTAATCGCAAAAATTTTTACAATTAGATTATCAGATTATCAGATGTAAAAATTTATGTGCAAGATATTAACAATCTTTTCTTTTTACATGTAATTAGATACAATTAAATTTTGCATTTACAAAATTAAATAAGATTAATTATCTTTGTTATATTAAGTCACATTAAAATAAAATAAGGATTTTAAAAGAATATTTTTACAATAGTTTTAAAAAAAGAAGAAAAGATATTGCACCAATTAATGATTTAATTGAATTTCCAACCAATTATCTACAGAAGAATATGAGAAAAAAAGTTGCATAGTCTAAATATGAGAAAAACGAAATATGAATGCATAGATATGCTTGCGTATTTTAATCACTCTTTCCTCGGTGGTAACTCCTTACACACCGCCCTCATGTCCGACGAAACAATTTCCACTTAATTGCGCTCCGGCGTCTTTCCTTACATTCGTTCATTATTTCAAACACCGATCTCTGTGTCTTTGATATTTTTTAATTATAATATATGTATTAAATTTACTTACATCTCCACGGGCTGGGAAACTGAAAACTCAAAACTTTAGATAACAGCATGTTGCTCTTATTAAAGAATTTCTTTTTTTTTTTGCGAACTTGATTCTGGTAATTAACTAATTACTCGGCGCGATTTAGTAGATTAAGCAACATGCTTTTATTGATGTGAAACTATTGAATCAGAGAACGCACCATTGGCACAGGAGAACCGAGAACACATCGAGGAAGGGGGGCTACAAAATTGTCGCATAAACCCAATGTACGAAGGCATGAGAATGGTATAAGTACTTGCCTCGAGGGACTGGATTTAGCCTCTCTCCAGGCAGTGTGGTATTTTGTCATGTTCAGTAGTAGTGGTAGAAGTAGTGGTAGAAGTAGTGGTAGTGGTAAGCGAATGCTTTTGATCGGCGCGACCCTAAGCTAAGAAATGGGGAGAAAGGGTACTGGTATCAGTCCATAGTTTACTACATAATAACGAGACGTTCATATTCTTTTTTTTTTACTCTTACGAATTTAAACATAGTTCATTTGTAAGAATACCGTTACATTTAACTTTTTAATGTCCAATGAAATTGCCATTTCTTTTTTATTAATATTTTCCGTTTTTCTTTGCATTGTCATTTTTTTCAAATTCTCAATGCATCGATATATTCGAAGATCATTCGTTCGCGGTAACCTGTAAACGTAACGAGGCACAAGACGAGACGTGCAGTAAAGCCTGAAAAGCCTGTAAAAAGAATAGCTGCAAAAAGGAAAAGGTATTCCTGAAAAGAATATATACCGGAGAACTTGGAGCTGTTACCAGATGCACATAAAATTATGTGTTGACCCTGTAATCCCAAAAAAAGAAAGAAAAGGAAAAAAAAACTGCTACATGTAAAAACGTTGATCTTATGTTTTTCTTGTAGACCTAAAAAAGATCCATTTTTGCAACATGTATCATTGCTGCACAAAAGTGGACGACTCTGTAAAAGCATTTCAAATTGGAAATAGAAGTCATAGACAGCTTTAATGTTTTTTTTTTTTTTCTTTCAAGAAGTCACACGTATCTCTATTTCGTTAATTTTTCTGCATCAGATTGAAACGCGAATGATCGTCTATTTCCTTTGTTCGATTTATTTCTGAATACAGTCACAACAAATTCTTTTCCCCCCCTCCCCCTTCCCTGTTGATTTTCCTAAAAAAAAGATTGCCTAGATTTGAGACTCGTATCTCCTCGTGATGGACTGGGTCCGCGATGTGCCTAGAAAGGCTGTAAGAGAGAGAGAGAGAGAGAGAGAGAGAAGGATAACCGTTGATGCGACTGCATACCCCCACCTAAATGCTGTAAACGCCACTAATGTTTCCTAAACTAAATATGCCATATTGGAAAGACAAGATGCGAGGAATGATAAAGGAAATTCCACAGGAAAACGAGAAGCGGATCGTTCGAAGATAAACACAAAAAGAGCACGGAGCCACACGATCCGAATAAACACACCTCTACCTAATAAGGAACCTAATCAACGCCGAAATCTTGGTGGAAACGCATACATACCTCTGTTGAACTTGAGTAAGATGGGGGTTCTCGGTCGTTTGTGTTTATGTGAGTGCACTCACTGCTAAATAGCTAAATACCTATATCATAATTTAGTCCTTTGAGGGTAACTTACAACGCAACGGGATTAGTATACGCGCATTTCCATACTAATCCCGCGGTTGTGACATCGCGATGCAATTTTTCATCGATCATTGAAGCCGATTCTCACGATTGATAAAAGTTTGTGCCAGCCACAGCAATGCAACTCAACAGATTAATGCAACTGATTGGAATAGGCGTCAATGGAGAAGAACTGCATCCAAAGGTGTGCAATAAATAAAATTATTTCACAGATTTGCTGGCATACCTGTTCCTCGTTCAAATAATTTGGTAAACCACCAATGAAGATTTTATGTGGAGAATCTGAAAGAGATAAAATCACACGATTAAAATAAGTACAAAATTATTGTCAAGTGTGTTAGAAGTCAAGCCAATAGGCTTTGATAACAATAAAATATAAGAAAATGTATGTTTAAAACATACCAGGAACCGTACCTGGCACGTTCATGCTTGGATTATCGGTCATTCCCGGCATTGGTTGATAATCGTGTGGCCTTCTTATCTTCAGACTCTGCCCTTTGAAATTTATGCCATCGAATGCCATAGCCTGCGTAGTTTCATCTATCGATCGGAACTATATTTAAAAGATAAAAAGGAATAAGAAATGTTATCAGTACTGAAATTATTTAAGTAACAATTAATTAAAATGCATAATATATGTGTGTATGTGTACACCATATTTTTTTATGACATATAAAAAGTGATATAAATATGTATCTGATAAATATGTGATAAGTTATACCTCCAAAAATGCGAAATTTTTGTCTAAATTAATTTGACACGCCAATACTGGATTTCCAGCAGCTTGTGCAAGTCCAGAGAGATGCATTTGTTGATTGAAAAACTCCATCATTTCTTCCTCAGTGACACCAAATGGAATGTTCCCTACGTAAAGTCTTCTTGCTTGGCGAGTTATAGTGCTACCAACTACAGGCACAGCTGCTTGTGGCGTATCCGCTACAATATTCGCGGGTATTTGTCCAGCAGCTTGCATAGCCTTATACTGTGTAAATAAAACATAT